ATAGAGTCACTGGTCCAAAAAGAATTGGCTGACATTCAATCATTTTAATAGGTAGCATATTATCAAGAACCCATGGTATTAAAAAAGAAGTCCAAGCCACACTAAAGGCATTAGCAAGAACACAAGGCTCCAAGAACCAGCTGAAATGTTTTGATAAACTGAAGCAGTGCTAGAAGCATTCACTCATCTATGTCAAGACTTTTAAAGAAATTTGGTCAATTTACTGGGAGAGATCATATTTGTGCCCAATCTAAAGAAAGGTGACCCAACAGAATATGGAAATAATCAAACAATATTATTAATAGCACACACTAGTAATATCAAGATAAAGGTAATTTTAAAAAACAGTTGTAGCAGTACATCAACAAGGAACAGCCAGATATTCAAGTCAGTTCAGAAGAGGACATGGAACATGGGATATCATTGCTGATGTCAGATGGATCTTGGCTGAAAGCAGAGAATACCAGAAAGATGCACACTTGTATTTCATTTATCATGCAAAGATATTTGATTATGTGGATCATAAATAAACTAAGAATAACTTTGCAAAAAATAAAAATTCCAGAGAACTTAATTGTGCTCATGCAGAACTGTACATAAACTCAGAGGCCGTCGTTTGAGCAGAACAAGGGGATACTGAATGGTCTAAAATTAGGAAAAGTGTGTGTCAGGGTTTACCATATTTATTTAATCTGTATGCTGATTAAATAATCTAAAAAGTGCAACCATAAAGGATACATCCTGAACTTGCATATGAACAACTGATGGTCTGTTCCACAATCAGCCCTTCACCTTGTTTTAGTTGATTATGTTGAGTTTCTCCATCTTCTCTTCCCATAGATGTAGTCAATTTGATTCCTCTGTATTCCATCTAATGATGTCCACGTGCATATCCACCTTTTAGGTTGTTGGGAACAGATATTTTCAATGGCTAGGTTATTGGTCTTGCCAAATTCTATCATGCAATCTCCAGGGTCATTTCTGGACAAGGCCATATTTTCCAACAACCAGTATCTCATCTCTTCTTTGTTTCCAAGTTACACATTCCAGTCACTAGTAATTATCAATGCATCTTGATTGCATGTTTGATCAATTTCAGATTGAAGAAGTTGGCAGAATTCTTCAATTTCTTCATCACTGGCTCTGGTGATTGTTGCATAAATTAACAGAATAATAGTTTTATTAATGGGTATTCCTTATAGGTATATAAATATCAGAGTCCTGGTGTGGTGCTGTAGGATAAGCACTGGATTGAAAGGTTACTTTGAGCCACAAGGCTGGCAGTTTAAACTCACCAGCCACTTCTCAGAAATCCTACACAGAGTCACTATGAGTCGGAATCGACTCAACAGCACTTGACAACAACATACAGATATTATCCTATGACATACAGCATTGTACTTCAAGGTAGATCTCGAAATGTTCTTTTGGATGGTGAATGCAATATTATTCTTCAATTTGTCATTCTGGCACAGTAAACCAAATGATATCTGATTTTAAATGGCCAATACCTGTCCATATCAGTTCACTAATGCCTAGGATATTGATTTTTTTATGCATTCCATTTTATTTTTTACAACTTAAAATTTTCCTAGACTCATACTTAGTACATTCCACATTCTTATTCTTATTAGATGTTTGTAGCTGTTTCTTCTTTTTTTGAGTCATATCTCTTCAGCAAATGAAAACCCAACCTCGTCATTAAGGTCAATTCTACTTTGAGGAGGAATCTCTTCCTCAGTCATATTTTGAATGTTTTCCAACTTGAGAGTCTCATTTCCTGACACTAAATCAGAAAATATTTTACTACCATTTATAAGGCTTCTAGTGACTAATCTCTCAGAAGTGAATTCCTTTTTCAAAGCCTGTTCTTAGTCCAGAATCTCCAGTGAAATCTGTCCAACATGTGTAACCCTGCTGGTATTTGAAACACCAGTGGCATAGCATCCAGCATCATAGCAACACACAAGTGAGCACAGTACAACAAACTGACAGACATTTGGGGAAGCATGATGTAGGTGCCAGTGGGTAATTCTGCTCAACAGAATGAACCACTGCCTGATCCTATGCCATCCTCACAATTGTTGTTATGCTTGAGGCCACTGTTGGGGTCACTGTGCCAATCCTTCTAGTTTGGGGAGCAGCTGTCTTTCTCTTTTTTGCTGATCCTCCACTTTTCAAAGCATGATGTCTTTCTCCATGAAGTGGTACCTCCTGACAACATGTGCAAAGTACAAAAGATAAACATTCATTAAGCAACAGCCAATACCAGTTACTATATACCAGATCAAGGACAACAATCAACATCAGGTAAATCCACCCTAAACTGAATTGTGTGACCAGCAAACAGAGAATGGTGCACAAGTTCATCCTCTGATCACACCTGCCAGGAGGCAGTTGGTGAGTGCCTAGGAATACACCAACATAAAATCAAGAACTTAATATAAGTACAACACCACCATAATGCCTCAGAAGCAGCAATTTCTGTTCACACAAAGAAATAAGACAGAGTGCTCAAACAAGTAACCAAAAGGCAGAGCTAGAAAATGGTTCAAAGGAAAAAAAGGCATTGGAACTACATGAAAAATAATTCAAGAGAATGATATTCAGGAACCTCTAAATAAGGGTCCTTGTGTGGCACTGTGAGTTAATGCATAGGACTGCAAGGTTGGTTTGAACTTCAAGGTCGGAAAACCCTATACAGGGTCATTATGAGTTGGAAATGACTCAACGGTACTTAACAATAATAACAACCAAATGAATGTTGAGGAAAACAAGAAAAAAATCAGGTAAAAAACTATAGGAAAAATCAAACAAAGTAGATAAAGGATTGGAGACAATACCAAACCTGTAAATAGAAATCCAGAAGATGAAGACTAAGATCTCAGAAATGGACAATACATTGAAAGGGCAAAGGAGTATATTTAATTCAATGGAAGCCAGAGTTAATGGGTGTGAAGATAAAAGTAGTAAGCTAGAAGAACAACCAGAAAAAAGAATGAGAAAATCTGAAAAAAAGCTTACAATTCATGTGGGACAACATGAAGAGAAATAACTTACAAGTGATCAGAATTACAGATGGGAAAAGTACAGAAAAGATAAGTCAAAGAGCTGTTGGAAGAAAATTTCCCTAACATCTTGAAAGATGAGAAGATAAGCATTCAAGAAGCTGAACAAACCCAAACATAATACAACCCAAAAGAAAATCACCAAGATATATAATAATCAAACTCTCCAAAATAAAAAACAAGGAAAATCCTGCAAGCAGATCAGGGAAAATGAAAAGGTACCTACACAGGAGAACCCATAAAATTAATCTCTAATTTCTTAGCACAAAGCATGAAGGCGAAAAGGCAATGGAAT